GGGGGGAGGGAAGAAATAAGCTGGGTGCTGGCAATTTTTGTGGAACGTGGAAGTGGACATTGCATTCCCATTGCACAGCAATGTGATCTGTTTTATGAGCAGCAGGTTGTTCTGTTGAAGAAGAATTTAATGGCTTTTAAATTCCTCGTGGCTGTCCGTGCCAGCTCATGATGAGGCAGACCTGTGACATACCCAAGGACTCGGTGTAAGCCTTTATTTAACCCCTTCACTGGCGACGCCTGAACGTGCTCAGTCCGCCGCGTGTCTGTCGAGGGTGTCTGCGCTGTGCAGGCAGGGTCAGCCGCCGTGGTGGTTGTGGTGTCCAGTGGGACTGACGTGGTCTCCCTCCGCAGGTGTCGGCACTCCTGAGCCCTCAGACCCCCCTGTCCAGATTGACCCCACGACTGCGTCACAGCGTGGAGGGCTTGAACCTGGAGCTGGAGGGGGTGTTTGTCCGCGAACCCTCAGAGGAACACCCCAGGGTGAGCTCCGGTACCAACTCTGACCGAGACTGGTGCAGCTAATAAGCAAGATGTCTTCAGTCCGCCAAGCTCCATCCACTCAGTTGGCATTAAAAAAAAATACTGTCGAGTTGCCTTGCAACATCCCTTGATTTGAAATCTGATTTGAAATCTGTGCTTTTAGTTTATATTGTTAAAAGCATGGTATTTGAATTAAAGGCTGTGTTGATATTATTACACATTAGTAAGGCCTCATTTACATTTTGTACAAAATTGGTCTCCACAATTTAGAAAAGATATTGCTGATCTAGAACCCAAAAGATTCTGAGTCTTAGGGAGAAGGGTATCCTACATTAACAGGCTTGAAGGAACTCTAGTCTTTAACAGAAAAGATTACAATGGGACCCAAAGTTATTCAAAACCCTCAAAGTCATTGATGTATAGTAGTCAACTCAAAGCTATGTGGATGTGCAGTTAAAACCAAGAACAAGGGGGATTTCTACATACAAAAGGCTGTGAGAGTATGGAACAAGCTACCCAGCCATGTTGTTGAAGTTGATGTCCTGAAACAGCTGATTGAGGTCTTTGTATCAATTAGCTGCTAATCATACTATTCTGGGAAACCAATCTGCCACCTACTGTATTGCCTTATTAGCTGCATATGTTTCAGGCCTTCCTGAGCTGTGGCCTCCTGTAAAAATTGTGCTGATGAAGCAGAGCAGGCATACACTGTATTTCTAATATTAATCTGTCTGTGGAAGCTTGCTCAAGGTTAGGTATAGCATATTTCTAGCACCTGGCATTTGGTTTTATAGAAGGATCTCCAGATTAACCCAGTGAGAGTTTTTATCCGTTTCCACTCCTATTAGTTGCCAGAGTATCAGCTGGCAGTGAAGTTACAGTTCCAAGATGTTATCCATCACTCTTTATTTCCCACACTTCTCTATACCGAGAGCGTTGTGATAATAAATCCGGTTCTTCTGGGTAGTGTGACACAGGGAAAAATAACTTGGATTTGGGAGGGTTAGTTTCAAGTATGGGACAATTACTTCCTGTGTTTTTGTGATGTACCAGATTACGTCATAGATTGCAAAGTAGGAGAATTTCACCTTTATTCACTTTTATCATAATTCCACCATGAGCTTAATCCTTTCTGCACATGACATTGTATGTAGATGATTTAGGGAAGTCAGTTTTATTCATTTCATCCCATTTGATTTCTTCATATCATCGTTACTTTGGAGACCTTTATGCAGCCTGATGTGTTTTCTGCAGTATTCTCTGTGCAGCCACACAGACAATTTCTTTTCATTGTGGGAATCGCCAAAAGTTCCGGCTGGAAGGGGAGTGACCGATTTGAATACCGATGAGGGGAAAAATTCCTCAGCACAGGAAGCGCAATAATAATCTGGAAAAATATGGAACGGCTTCTTTTTAAATGTACTAAAATAAGATTGCACGCTCTCTCAGATGAGATCCTTATTTATGAAGGTATGCACAACTGTTAAATGGATAAATTGTTTTCAACTATAAAGAATAAATGAATTTTCCTCTGGGGTTTTCCCGTCTCTCGATATGGCCGTGTGCAGACACTGGGATGGGCTAACGGACTGTCCTGTTGCCAGGTTCTGGACGTCCCAGATGGCCACAGAGCTCCCGTTCCCCCGCAGCGGTGCAGCAGCAGCTCCCAGAGCGACCCCTCCCCGGCGCCCCTGGACCCCGCTCTGCTCTCGCTGCCCCCCTCCCCCTCCAGCCCGCTGGGAGACGCGGGCCCTGACCTCGGTCCCGACCCAGGTAGGCGCACGTCTGTTGGTGAATCCTTCCGATTTCGCTCTCGAGACCATGTTTGATTTTTTTTTTTTTCCTGCATCGGAATCTTTTCCTCTTGGCTCTGGTTTCAAGTGGTTGTCTGAAAAGCTGAACTTGAGCAAAGGTTAAGTCTAATCTGTACTTATTTCAACTGGACAGCAGTCGCACTTGCCCAGTGGCCAGACGTGCCTCACTCTTGAGGTGCCGGTTTTAGGACATAGCAACTTTATCAAAAGGTGATGCTTTAAAACATCATACTGCTGTTTATTTGGAAATTTTTGCACAAAAAGGTATGCACGCTTATTTTAAAAAATCTTATTCGTTGTCTGATCAATAATCTCCTAAAGATTAATTGTTTGATTACAAAATATTAAATATTTTTACAGTTGGAAGTTTTTGTCTAAATACTCTAGTGCACTTGGCTTGTCTAAATCAGAGGTTCCCAATCCTGGTCCCAGAGGCCAACACCTGCTGGTTCTCACTTCAGCCCATTTTCAATATCTAATCAATGCCTTAATTGGACCGATTTGGACTGTTTGCAATTGGGATTTTATTTTTACTTTTGAGGCTCAAGCATGCAAAGGTAATGTCAGACATAGATAAGAGCTCAAAACAGACTAACAGTTCCTGTTAACTGAGTAACTGAGAGCTTGGCTGGAACAAAACCCAGCAGGTGTGTGGGCCTCCAGGACCAGGATTGTGAACCACTGATCTAAATACTAAATGCATTTTGTTAATTAGAGAATTCTGCAAGGTTAATAAAATATGCATAGCACGTTGATGTGGACCGGAAGTAATGCTGCTGAAAATGAAGGCTTTCTGCTGGAGGGACTGCTGCTCAGATGGATTAGAGAAGCATGTCCAGTGTCCAGCTCTCTCAGCCTGGTGTAGGACACACACTCTGCACCCCCCCATGCATGAGGCCGGACTGCCTCTGAGTGTCTGTGTCCTGTCCCCAGATCTGCCTTGCGGGACGCCGCTTTCCTCCTGCCCCTCGCCTGTACTGCAGCTCTCCTCCTCCCCGCTGCCCAACAAGAGCTACAGCTTCCAGAGGGAGCCCCCGGAGGGCTGTGAGCGCGTCCGTGCCTGCGAGGAGGCCCTGTGAGTCCGGCCGGCCGCCTTCGCACGCCCCCATTCCGGCTCCTCACACCCGCCTTAAAACAGCCATGGTGCAGGGCGTGCAACACTGCAGTAATCATAGGGTTGAGCAATGGAAATGCATCATAAATACGATGCAGCTCACTACCATAGTACTATTTAAATACCTAAAAGAACACTATGAAATATGGTTTCTTTAAAATAGATTTCAAAGTGGCATGAGAAATAGGGAGACAGACACAAAAGTAGTACTTTCAGTCTATTTCAACAGCAAGCAGGCGAGGGACTTTTTAAACCTGGTGAGCTTAATGTTCATGCAGAGGAGGTCCACCTGTTTTGGGGCTGCTGCAATGGTAAATGCTTCTAATAACAGTTTATTTGCATAGGTAGGTATTGTTCTGCTGAGCGTGGTGTTGGGTGCAGTTCACTACTGCCCTCTGTTGTGCGAAGGAAGTTTTGCAGCCCAAGATCACCTTACGGCATGGAAAGCTAAATATGCTTTACTGGCACAAAATTGTGTTTTAATTCCTTTATTTTTTTTTTAGTTTTACCATTTCTTTTAAGTATCTTACCGCTTCTTTATTCTCTGTCGTCGTCATTACAGATGTTCATTAATTGTTCTGGGGAATATAAGTGAATGAATGGCTTGGAGTTGGTATTGTGTGTGTGTATATATATATATGGTAGGATTTATTATATACAGACAGGGTGAAGGGGGGCTAAATTTGTCTAAAACAAAGGATATTGAGTATTCCAAAGGGGCTAGTGCAGATTAAGTAGTGAAATAAAGTATGATTGTGGAAGAGAAACTAAAAGTGAGTTCATTTAAAATGGAGTTTAGGAAAACATTTTTACACCACGAGGGGTGAGTTTCTGGAAGAGGTTTCAAAGTCAGGTCCAAAGAGCAAGATGAAATTTCAGATTCACTGAGCTACTAAATTTACCACACAAGCAAGACAGGCCAAATTGTCCCATTTGTAAGCCTGTTTCATGTTCTTATTTTATACAATGTTCTGAAATACGATCCAGCTCGGGTTAATAACATTGCATGTTCCTTCTCTTTTCAGTCATAGTCTCAAAAAGTGATGATTATTAAAGACTATGTTGAAAGACAGTGAGTAAATGATCGAAAACAGTATTGTTAAAATTGCGTCAATGACTGTCTCCTCCATGCACAGCTGTTGGAGAAAGACCTTTTTTAAAAACCTTGTCCTTTCTCTAGTGTGTGTGCAAGAGTTGGGATCAACATGTCCCTGCTCCAAGTACAAAGTGTGTGGTGGACTTGGCAGGATGTGAGCAATGCAAACAAACTTGAGGCAACTGTGGAAGTGCAAAGTGATGTATAACTCTCAGGATGTGTGCCTCGCTAACTGGAGTCTCTGTCTCCCAGCTCTCCGTGCTTGGGCCAGGCCTTCCTGCTCTCCTGTCCCGACCGCAACAAAGTCAACTTCACCCCTACGGGTTCGGCCTTCTGCCCCGTCAGCCTGCTCAAGCCCCTCCTCCCTTCCATGGACTTCCTGTTCCGCAGCCTCTCCGTTTCCCCGGTGACGGCGGCCTGCTCCAGCGGTGGGGGACCGGTGCCCTGCCAGCCCGGGCCATCAGTCGGGTACCCAGGGCAGCTGCAGGATTCTGCCACGGCTATGTGAACGTCACCCTGGAAACGTGAAGGGGTGGGAGGGCAGAAAAAACCCCTCCTGCTGCTGAGGGTGAAACATCACGCACACGTTTCATTTTCTGAGTATTGCAGAATCCTTTGGCTTATGACCTTGAAAACATCCCTTGCTTTTGGCAATGCAGAGGCCCGTGGCTGCGGATGGAGAACACAGCAGGAAGACTCTGCTTTCAGGAAAGCTTGGCCGTATGTGTAGCATTGCAACAGTACTCCACTCTGTGTGCCAGACAGCTCTGCTGTTGCCAGTATGGGGCTGGCATAAGGAGGATTCACTGTTAATCACTGAGGAACTCTTTGCTAGTCGGAGACTGGAAAGCAGAATTTCTTTGATTTCAGAAGAGAGAAAGGGGGTGTCTTGTAGGGAAGCTCTGCAAGCATTATGCTACAGCTTCCAGTCCTGATTCTGCAAGTGTTGTGTTCTCGAATCTCCCCTTGCACTGAAGGGCCTTGTAAAGGACAGGGAACAGGTGGCTGCCTCTTAAATCAGTATTTCCACTGACCAGAAATTCGTTTTCAGTTCGTGTTCAAGGGACAGCTGTTAAATTCCTCCAGCTTCTTCTAACTTCTGATTTTTATAGTTTTATCCTAATGTTTCTTTGATCTCCATTAGGAGTTAAGTTCTCTGTTGAAAAAGCACTTGTGTTTGTGTTATAACCAGGAAACTTGTTAAATGAGTCTTGAATTGTGCTGCATAGTCATGAAGACTGGCCAAGTTATACTTTTTTCAGGGATGTTTGCTTGCACAATATTTTAATTATTGGTGGCTCTTAATTAACCATTGGCAATAGTGAATCCAACATCAAGCTTCTTTTTTTTAACTATCGAAAATACTGTGCTCTTATTAATAACATTTTAAGGTTTGATTTGCTAATGAAAAAAGTAAGTCTTGACCACTTTTAAAAATGGCCATTGTACTGGTATGACTAGTAGATCCCTTATTAGTGCAATGAAGACAGCTAACATCTTAAATTGATATAAGATGGCTTCTCGCAGATAAGCAGAGAGGTCGGGGGAAAATAGCAGAAATTGAAAACTGTCCATGTCGCGATCATTCTCACCTTCTTATCTTCGAGTGACAGACACAGCATTGCCCAAGAGTGAGAGGCTCTCCACAAAGCTGTAGGCCCCACCATTTCCTGTAGAGTTGCTCCTGTAGCTCCACAAGGTATTTCAGTCACTTCACCCTTTTCAAAATTTTTGAAAGTGTAAAAGCCAAAACATTATCTCCTTTGCCACTAGAAAGAGCACACCTCAAAGTTGTTGTTTTTTTTCTCTGCAAGGTCTTGCTGAGCACTCCTCTCGGTGCGACTGCTGGGAGCCGTTCAAATAGTACACCAAACTGTATTGGCTCAGAAACTACTAGGGAATCGCTGCCGTGCTCCCCCTGCTGTGCATTTGCTTAGCAGCATGTACAGTCAGCCTGCCATCGATGGGGCTTGCATTCTTCCTAGATTTTTGACTGACTGACACTTGAATTTATTGTTTCCAGGTAATGACTGGCTTCTGATTTTAAGCGCCTGGATGTCCAGGCCATCAGCCCTTGATAGTTTGGTTCTTATTCCTGCACATTTCAGTAATTGGAGATAATGTCAGAATTTCTGGGATTTGTGTGGGGTGTTCAGAGGAAATAGAAAAACAAATGATGCATGAGACCTGCAAGCCTTTTTGTTTAGTACACCCGAATGAGGCACACGTTGGAAATAAAGCTTTATTTGAAATGTATTTCCTTTTTCTCTTCTGCAAGTTATGTGATAAGCCCAGGGAGGAAGACTATCCTGAAACATTTTTGGTAAGCAAAGTACAAAATCAGTTCTTCTGTTCCCCAGGTGGTCAGCCAGGGAAGTGATTCAGTAATCCAAATACTTCTTAAAATTGTAGGTATCTAGAGAGCAGTGTTTTGAGGAAACTGTATCCTAAAGGTGACAAATATAAACAACCCCAACAATTTAAAAGTTACTTATGAGGTACAGTAGATGGTTAATATCTAGTGGTGCACTATCATGCTTCATTTCCACACCTTGATCATTACAGAGAGGCTCAATATGCAAATGGAAAAACAGGCCTGCAAGAGAATTCCTTGACTGGAACTGTTCAAAATAGTACAAAACATACCGTGGAATAATACAGAACTGTCTGACTAGACTGCAGGGAAACGATCATGGGGAGACGGATTATTGAGTGAGCAGAACTATAGAGAGGTAAAGAGAAATGTGACGTGCAACACTGAATTTGCTGTTGCTTTGTTTATGGGTTCAAGTACACCAGAATGAGAATAAGGCATGCTCATTTTCTTTTTATTCAGCCAAGTGATGGAGCTAAGCCCATTGAAATCTTATTTCATATATAGCTATTTGTGCTTTGTCACAGATTTAAGTTGATCAGCTTTTCATTTATTTTCGTAGTTCTCCAAGCCTGACCTGTGGTTTAAGTTCTGTCTGTACATGAACCACAGATGTTATGTTGGTGTTTGTAAAGGTAACTTTCTGTAATGTTAATCTACAGAACTTTTTGAAATTATTTAAAACTCCTTTAGGGAACTGAATACTGTTTGCACAAAAGTACATACAAATCTTTTTTTTTTTCTTTGATCTATTTGATCCACTTTTTATAGTGGAGATTGACAGGTGAATGTATTGTATGAATTTCTGTTTAGATATTTGCTACATAAGCTAAACGACAATAGTTAATTTTGTTTTTGATTGTTATACAGAGGGCCTGAAAAGCATGAGATTTAGTCAATGCAAAACTTTGATTTAATAAAATTTAGCTAGACTTTACATGCTGGTTAGACTGAGAATGGTTTTCAGTTATTTAAATGCAAGTTTCTGTCCTAAGGAATTCAGTGTGACCAAATTTGTGGATCACTTTGAGGAAATGGAGCAAATGAGAGAAGCTATTTCAAAAATAGCCATTTAAAAAACAGCATTCTTTATGGCCCTAATCAGTACGTAAATAAGACGGTGTTATTGTTCAAGATTTGTTATTATTCTAAACAGGCTGTTTTGCTCTGTGTGCATTTTTATACAGATTTATTTTGTCAAAAATATTAAACAAATAGCCTGCAATGCTTATTTGTTTTCAATATCAAAATGAATAGCAATGAAAATTTCAGTACTGCAGTCAATCCTTTATTCTAAATGTTGCCTTCAGAAGTATTGGTCCTTAGAGGTTGTACCATAAAGGCTGTTTCTTACAAAATATTGTTACACAATTAAAATGAATAAAAAAGATGACATTCTGAGTTGTAAAACATTTTTGTTGTGTGGCAGCTTTTATAGCTGACGGAGTAGTACCTTTAGTACCCATGTAAGGTGTGTTGGAAAAATATCATCTGCTACGGATCACAGGGGAGCTGGAACCTCTCTGAGCAAGCGACTGACCCAGAGAAGGGTACACTCTGCACACACTCACACAGGGGCCGGTTTTCCCAGAAGCCAATTGACCTACCTGTATGTTTTTGAACTGTGGCACTAAACTCTTGCAAACGGGGGGCACATACACATTCCCCACAGAAAACGTTCAACAAAACGTGTGTATTGCAATGGCGCTTTCCGATTACGGATTATTCTGAACCCGAGACATCCCTTTCAGAAACAGTCGCCCGGTTTTCACATTAATGGTTCGCTTTCAAACTGATCGTACCTGGAGTTAATTCGTGGTTGTAGGGTTGAAAGTGTATGCCAGTGTATTAAGTACACGTGTATCTTCGGTTAAGCTTTATAAACCCCGCCTCTACAGGCCACCTTCCTCCCTAATATGGCTTGCATACTCCCCTGCATGTGGCGAACTCCGCCCTTTATTGCCTTATTTGGACCAATAAGAAACGTCCACATTCAATTACGTCTAAGAAAACGCGACGCTTAGCCGTGGCGGTCGCAAGCTCCGAGGGGGGTAGAGGTCCACGAAGTGAGCCTGACTGAAAAGCAGAGGCTGCGTTAGTGGTTAATGTGGAGGTTGATACTCCCGGAAACAAGTTGTTATCAAGGAGGCAGCTTGGAGGATGGGATACCATTCTCAGGACGTGCAGTCCAAATGATTGTTTAGATAGACAAACAATCAACTACGCCAAAAGAAATATTGCAAAATCCACCCCGCTAATTCAATGTTTCTTCGCTAACACGAGATAAACGCTTTACTGCAGCCGGTTAGGAGTGTAAGATCAGAAACTTTTCTGGCCTTACGAAATGGTGATAAGGTCGAAGACGAGCAGTAAAAACTGCTGTGTCGCTGCGATACGATGCGGTTGTTGTCATTGCGTTGTGAACAGCGCATTCTGAGCCTGCTGGTCTGCGCGAATTTCGGAACCCAAGACTAGTTGGTTTTAGTAATCTATTAATCCGAAGTCAAGAAAGTTATTCGTACATAAACGTTGCCGTTTCCTTCAAGTATAATAAGCCTTTGTAACGCACACAAGTAAATGATTATCACGGGTCCACTTGTAGATCAATCCTAGAACTGAACCTTGATGGGGTTTAACATCCGAGCATGAGCTTCATTCGGATATATTTACTACATTAAATAATATTTAGGGTCTGTGAGACCTGGTTACTAAAAAGCTTTGGTCATTATATCCCTTCTCATCCTTGAGTGAACTGTCTCAGACAAAACTCGATACTAAGTGTATTTGTCCGACTTCGTTGTTTACTTTTTGTTGGCATCGAAGCCAAGTGAAATCCACGCCACCTGGTACAACCAGCGTGATCTGCTCGATTATTTATATGCAGTTTAATCACTAACTAAATGACATTCTGAACGCTGACATGCACGTAGACCGCACTTGTATCGGAAAACCCGCGTTCGGGTCCCACGACGATGTCGTCCAAAACACTACCTCGAGCAGAAGACCGGATAGTCTGCTCTGCGTAAAGCCCCGCTCGAGGGAAGACAATCATAGGTTCTAAATTTAACGGCATGCAGTATTTTTATAATTATAGACTTGGGTCTGAACGCAGAAGAGTCTCCCTCCCTTGGGATCTGTAACAGTAAAAAAAGGCTCCAGTCCCGCAGGCAGGTCTCTTGGCGCCCCTACAGCGGAGGGGACAGTCGGCTGGGTCCTAGCGCAGATGCTGTCGCCGGCGCCGACTGCGGGCGTTAGGAGAGTGGAAGGGTCTCCGCCGGGGATAGATGCTACAGGGGATCACGGCGACAGGACATCGGGTCGGGGGAGCTCAGCGGCTGGGAGAAGCAGCTCGGACAGTGGGACAGGGGAGAGAAGGCTGAGCGGGAATCGGGAAGCGCCGCCGGGAGACGAGGAGGGAAAGGAGCCGGTCTGGCCCCTGGAGACAGAGCACCCTCTGTGGAGGAGAGGCGAGACTGAGGGCAGGCTTGAACGCATTCCTGCTCCGCGGCCGCTCGCTTCGGGACAGATCGCCTCGGGCGCCTCTCCCGGACCTGGACCCGCCTCGCCTCCGCCACCGCGCAGTACCGGGGGTCCCGGCTGTGGCGCAGGCATCCGCCCACCCCGTCCCGGGGGCAACAGCGCCACCATTCCGGGGCAGATAGCAGCGGGGAGAGTGGAGCGGGACGCCGGGCTGAAGGGTGCGGGGAGAGGAGACGTCGGCAGCGGGGCTGTGGCAGTATCGATCCCGGTACTGGGAGACAGTATGGCGGCCGGTCGGGTGTCTCTGCTGCAGAATGAGCGCGTCCGGTTGATAGTCTGCTTTCTTGGAGTTTTTTTCTGTTACCTGTACTACGGTATACTACAGGAAACAATGTGAGTAGAGCGGTGCTCTTTTCTTTAATTTTAATGACTGTGTGCTGATTATTAGCGATCAGTAGCGATTGGGTGTGAATAAAACTGATGTTGCATTTAAACATTCATTTCGTGCTTTATTTAAAAAAAAACTGCTCCTTTGAGTTGTCAGTCCGTTGTTTATCAAAGGTTTATTTGAGTTTATTTAACGTTTTTAATCTTGCCTCTGGTTGTTGAGTACTGTTACTGCCAGAAATGCCACCTGCTATCGAAGTAATGTCGGCATCTCTAAAAAGCTTTTAATTTAAAAAACAAGGCTGTGTCTGGATTACAGGTAAGAGCTGACATGCAAATTACGTTTTTTTTGTAAACCAATTTAGAAGACACCGTCTAGGTACAGTTAAGATAGTGAAAACACCCCTTGCATCTACGCATCAAAGCTGACGACAGCAGACGGGCCTTAACAGGCATGAACCGTTCACGAGGTTTTCAGCTGAACTCAAAAAGTGATTGAAACGGTATCTATTGTTATTTAGTTAAATGGAATGGAATTATTTATTTGATGACGTTTACTAGCAGTATCGCACTGTAATGCAGTTCTAGTACCCTGATTTCTCGATCCCTTCCTGATGTCGATGGATCAGTAAAGGGATCTACCTGGGAAAAGGAGTTTTGCCCCAGGCACTCTGAATTCCAAGAGAAGAGTAACAGAGTTGTGTCCCAGGGTTGAGAACAGCGTCATTTTGGGATGAGGGGGGTTGAATCCTGATCATGTCTGACCACAGCTTTAAAAAGCAAGGATTTCCAGTATGTGTGCCGAGTATGATTGCTACTTCACAGGAATGCTTGGGATTGTGAGAGTTTGGCAAACCACATTTGTTTGGTTGGTATTTTGACTCCATCTAAATTTTGCAAGCTCCTGTGTAGTCAGCCTGAACATTGTAGCTCAGAAACTAACTCTGAACATCCATAACACTTTCTGCAGAAAGGTGCTTTCTGTTTACTTAGTTCCCACTTGTGTTAGCTGTTGGCCTTGACGTTTGATTTAATCTTAGCAGACTCAAATGCCCTTGTGAACTCTTCTGGTCCTCACCCCAGAGACTGGGTTCCTCTGAGCTGGGTGCGAATGATGTGTCTTTCGAATCGGCGATTAAATGCTCTTGGTTTGACTGTGCTTGTCCCGGACAGAACGAGAGGAGAATATGGCACAGGGGAAAAGAAAGAGAAGTTTAAGTACGCCACCACTCTGGTCTTCATCCAGTGCATCATGAACGCCGTCTTCGCCCGAATCCGTAAGTACATGCACACTGCTCCTGCGTCTGACTTCTGGTCATTGGTGTTTGTTTATCCATTCGTTCTCTGACCACTTCATCCGGTTCAGGGGGCCAGAGTCTGTCCTGACGAGCAGTGAGCACAAGCAGGAGTACGTGCAGGAAGGGACGCCAGTCCCTCGCATGGCAGACTGACAGACACACTTGCACCGCAGCCAGTTTTGTCAGAAGCCCATTAACCTACCAGTATGTCTTTGGAAAGGTGGGGAGAACATACGAACTCCACACAGACTGCACCCCAGTTGCAGTATTGAGCCCAGGCCCCCAGCGCTGTGAGTCTGTAATGCTAGCCACTGCGCCACTGTGCCACATTGTGTTTGTTCAATAAAAGATAGATGCTTCTATGGAAGACAAGTATACAAGGAGACCTGTGTATGTCGCTGCCAAGAAATACAGTAAATTAGGTTAGCTTTTTTCCTCTGTGGTAGTGAAAAACAGCACTAAACAGGTTACCAGTTAATGATGTAGAGGCTGAGGTGTAAATGACACTGTATCAAATATCTCACAAAACCAAAAACAATGATTTTGGTGCTTGAATTTCAGGCATTTGGTGAGCGATGTGGTGTACTTACATGAGGGGAGTTCTGAAAACTCAATTTCTAACCCCTTCAAGCTTGAAAAGAGCTGAAGCTGTTTTTGTAGAGAGTGATGGGGGGCAGAAGGGCAGTAGTGAACTAGATCCCCATAGAAATATATTACCCTGAGAGGCAGGGAGTTTTTCCCTCTGACGTCTAAAGCTTTAGTTCAGTGATGGCACCGCAGGCTCGTGTTTCAGTAGGCTTTGCTCCACTTATTGCTGCTGACCAACCTTATTCTTTCACCATTGTTCCAAACTGGGTGTGGGGCCACAGGGGGACTTTGTGTTTGGGAAACACCTTTCTGCACAAGACGTTTCTAGTCAAGCACACGATCGTGGAATAACAGGAGGTTCACGTGAAGTCTGCGCAGGAAGAATTTCATTCCAACCTGAAAAGTAGAAAGAAACAGCAAATCAAGTACGATTTTGGCTGGGGAAACTGTCACACACACCTGAAGCAGCTTCACAGCTGAAAGAGTGTGACACACAATGTGGCTTCTACTTTTTAGTGTGGGATTATGGAATCAAGCCTAAATAAAACATTTCTGATAAGAGTTACACACCCCACCACCCACCGTAACTGTCTTCTTGACTAATGACCCAGCTTCGGATGGAACAGGACGCTTCTCAGGTGTCACCTGCACTGACCTCAGCTCAACACAGATTTCCCTTTGGAAGGGTGTAACCTTATTTTTAATTACTGCCTTTTCCTTATAACAGTTCTGTGTACAGTCAATGACCTAGCTAGAGACTGAAGTGGATTGTTGTAGTGTTGCCCATAATTAACATTTTTTAAAGCTTTCGTCATCTACCAGCACTCTCAGAGGGACGATCTATTTCACATGTACTGTCCTGATTTTTTTTGCTTCGTATAATGATGGTAATGAAAGACCTTTTGATTTTTATTATACACCTTTGAAAGCAGTTATCTCACATAGTTATAATTTAAACTGCTATTTAAGTATCTGTCTTGCTATCCGGTTATTTTCAAAGCTGATTTTCAAGAAAGCAAGAATATTAGAGGAAGTGGGGGAAGAAATTAGCTGTTGCGCGGTGCGAAGTGGGGGAAGAAATTAGCTGTTGCGCGGTGCTCTGCACACTGTGGGTGTGCCTGCTTGACTCCCCCGTCACAGAGAGCTGCGCTCTACCTGCTGGAACCTCGCTACAGAAGCGATTTTGATCTAAATGCTGAAGTGTGAATTAAAGAGCCAAATAATTGCCAAGCATTGCATAAGGAAAGAAACCTTTATTTTATTTTAACCTGTTTATTTCTAATTTTTCATAAACCGAGCAAAACAGTATAACCTAAAAATATTCCTCCCAACCATCAGTAGACCCCTGAATTTCCATCCACAGGACCCCAAATATGAAGGGGCACTGTTTCATAACAAATTGACCATGGTAGGTGTGACACTCGCATTCACCCCACAGTGCACAGTGCCCTGTGTAGAGCTATTTTGATGTTAGTGGGGTGTTCTTTTTGTGAGTGGAGATCTCTAGGTTTCAAAAATGGAACAAACATTAGATCCAGTGTGCGTGAAGGACTAGAGACACCGCGAATAAAAAGCTATAATAGAAAAGGCTATAAATGTCCTATTTGTGTCTTGTTTTGATATTAACTGTGTTATTATGAAAGGAGAGATGTAATACTTGTACTGTAATCCAGCATTTTAAGGGATTTAATTCTCGCAAAGGAAGTGGAAAGCTCCATATAAAGCAGATCAAAATGGGACAGGGTCCAGAAATGCCGAGGCAGGGATAAGGAACCCTGTACATGCGATGGGACCAGTGAGGGGCGGTGGTTAGCATGGGTTCGGTTCCAGACCTGGGGTGCCGTCTGCATGAAGTTCGCATGTTCTCCCCGTGTTTGAGAGGGTTTGCTCCCGGTGCCCCAGATTCCTCACGCAGTCCAAAGTCAAAGTGGATGGATAGATGGGGTCCTGTGAGCCACATGTGTTTCCTTTTCTACATGAGACCGCTATCTGATGTGCTTTCCCTCCCTCCCTGCTCCCAGTTATCCAGATCTTTGAGAAGTCCAAGCCCGATCGCACTCGCAGCTGGCTGTACGGAGTGTGTTCGCTGTCCTATCTGGGCGCCATGGTGTCCAGCAACTCAGCATTACAGTACGTCAACTATCCCACGCAGGTCAGTGTGCCCGAGGACTGAGGTCACCCTCTTAAAACAAAAAAAGAGACCGTCCGCTAACTCTCCCTTTTGCACACCTTCTAGTAATGGACTTTCACATTGAAAAAGTGTACTAGTAAAATGAATGCCCTTCTTCCGTTGTGTAATGAGTTGTTGCTATAACAAAAGCAAGGCAAACCCAGCCTCCCAGTTGTTGCATCCTGTTGCCTGTTTAGCCATTTTTGTGAGTTTTATTTCCACATATCTTGCCGTCCATCATGATGTCTGTGCATTTTTAACCACTACCTGTTAGCGAGAAGTATAGAAGTCCAAGGACAGAATAGTCTGTAGTCTGTGAATCTCCATGCAAGACAAGACATTGTGAAAAGGCATGGAAAAGGAGGGTGCTTAACAGGCAAGGCACACAGTCTGGTTCTTCCAGTCTCAGCTGTGTACCATCAGCAAAGATGCACAACAGAGCACAGGGCCAGCTGCCCCAGGTGAGCTACTATAGTGTGAGATAGGAGAAGATGGAAAGTTACTCAGTTTGTGGACTGAAGAACAAGAATAAATGCTTACTACTCAGTCATACTTGCTTACTTATTCAGTGAATCAGATAAAAAATTTTCCTGGGATGTTTAAAAATGCTAGTTTGCGGAAGAGAAACAGAGTGTTAGTGCATGAGAGTGCAGTGCATGAAAGGGTTAACAGCAGCAGCTGGCCTTAGGTCACCCCGTCATTTGGCAGAATCTGTCTGGGCCTTGTCTGGGTGACCGTGACCTCAGTGAGTCAATGGGACACTTACAGTAAGGTAAGACAGACTGAGCTCTGGTGCTGAGCTGCGTCTCTCTGCACAATGAGCCTGTTTTTCTGCACCACTGTCACAGTTGCCTGTTGTTCCCTTTCTTCCACGAGTTCTGTGTGTTCTCAGGACTTGGAGTGGAAGTGTCTTTAGAGAAGGATTCGAAATCCGCAGTAAGGTCTCTGTGACCCATGAGGCGCTGCAGGCCTTCAGTGTGTTTGTTAAGTCAGTGGGTACAGATAATGGATTTCTGGCAGCAGCCAGCTCTGATGGAACAGATGTAAAATATAAAATAAAAACAGGACAGATTCTAGTATAGAGTCATTGAAAGTGAGTCACCCTGAATGACTTCGTAGCTTTATACGTAAGAGTGAAATTTTTCAGTGCAGTATTTTGTAAAATCTTTGTAAACATTTTAAAGGTGCATATATATTTGGTAAGATACAGTTTTGGGAAGGGAAACTAGCTGTTAAAGAATGTTTCTTATAAATATACTTGTGGATTTTGTTTCTGCATTTATTTGGAGTTGTAAAACTCGTGTGCTTTGTAGTACGATTGAGGAATAAAGAAACCCATGAGCATCTTCATGAGCAAACTGTGATCCGCTTTAACTTTCACTCAATGGTGGAATGTGGTGCTTGGCAAAAAAAAAAGTATAACAGTATAATTGTGCTAGAAAGCCATTCCGAATGTCATTTAGGACATATGGGGATATATTGCTAAACTATACTTTGGTAAGAATAAGACTAGATACAGAGTATCTTGGGAAATAGACTTTCTTAAATGTTACAAACAAGACCATTCAGCTGACTGAGCTCAAAGGAGAATATAAACAGGCCTGATAGTCATGAACTAATATGAATATGCAGTGGAAGCATTTACAACCAGAAGGGTAATTTCTGCATAATCAGTTTTCCTTGTCTTGCTGCCTCTGAAAGTTGTTTGAGCATGTAATACTGAGGGTTTTATAATGTGGTCTTATTTCATCTCTTCCAGGTTTTAGGGAAGTCCTGTAAACCCATCCCAGGTAGGATGATCAGCCTGGTTTGCAATTTAATATGAAATGTGTGTGAGATATACTGCCCAGTTCTGTTATAATTCTAAAAAAAGAAAGTGAAAAGTATACTTTATATTAAATCCTATTCTGTTTCTTGTTAACAACGCTTTTATCAAAGGCGACATGAATGCATTACAAGTGTCAAAATCCAGTGAATTATATTCCAAGAGGCATTTAAAATTCAAGTTGGTGGGGAATCATGTATACAGGGAAGCACTGATAGTTGCAGTAAGATTTATGTCGTGCAATTTACTAGATAGATAAGGCTTTATTGATCCCGTAGGGAAATTGATGAATACTAAATGAATACTAATACTAAATACTGTGCCCATTCCTCTTTTAGAGAAGTATAGGTAGCCATTAGTTTGCTATGTCAGTTAGCTGTAGAACACACAAGAGTATGCTTTCCACCCATTGAGTGGGAGTGAGGTTGGGGCTTCGTGCTGAGAGGCTGGTCCTGTGTCCGCAGTGATGGTCCTGGGCGTCACCATTCTCCGGAAGAAGTACCCGCTGGCCAAGTACCTGTTCGTGCTGCTGATCGTGACGGGCGTGGCGCTCTTCATGTACAAGCCCAAGAAAGGCGTGGCTGAAATGGACGAGCACCTGTTCGGCTTTGGAGAGATGCTCCTGGTATGAACCACTTGAGCCCAGACTGACTTCTTTCCCCCTCCCAGTTTTTCTTTCTTCCCTTTTTCCTCATTAGTATTTGGCCCTTTTCTTGTTCAAGGTCCTTCACTTCGCTATATATGTGCCGTCTATCCATAATCGGAAAGCCAACTGCCTGGCAAAAGGCAGGACTGTGTCCTGGATGGGATGCCATTCTATCACTGGGCACACAAACACATCCAGACTTTCTTCCAGTGTCAACCTGTCGTTCCTTTGTTTCTCTGTTCTTTCCTTCCTTAAAACCATCACTTTTTGTGTTTTATCTGTAAGCTCACAGATCTATGTATAGAGGCCCAGGTGGGCATCTGTGTCAGCATGCAGTGGCTTCAAAGACACAGGCGAAGGTTAATACAACTCTGAAAAATAGAAAGAGCTACCTCCATCTTTCAAATTTTAATCCTTCTCCACCTTTTACGTCTTTGACACTTGGCTCAACAGCTGAAGTGTTGTTTTGTCTTTCTGCTTTTCATCTTGGAATTAAGTTTAACTTGATCTATATATAGAACATGTCCATTCCTCTGTGCACCCATGAATATGGCCTCAGGTTGCACTGAACTGATAGCAGTGAGGCCATGTGTGTGACTGTGTTACAGCTGCTGTCTCTGACACTGGATGGGCTGACCGGTGTGTCCCAAGACCACATGAGGGCCCATTTCCAGACTGGCTCCAACCACATGATGCTCAACGTTAACCTGTGGTCCACTCTCGTTCTGGGCATCGGTAAGGCAAACCGCGCCTCTTTCCTGGCTCATTCCCACCCCAGACTCTGGCCCACACGTAGGTTGATTAGTAAAGATACAGGTGCCTGGGTGCAAACAATTTCTAGTCCTTCTATAGCACAACCTGCAGCGCTCCATCGGTGCTCCCGTGTCGCTCAGCTCCCAGGACAACGCGTCTCTCCGCAGGCTGTTCCTTTAGCTCCCTCAAGTAGTTGCAGAATGAATGCAAGCCAATTGAGGAAACTATTTTCAAAGCAAAAAACAGGTATTTTTAACTTTTTGTGACTGAATTAGCAATCCCCCAGGAGCTGCGGCACAAACTGTGCACCTGACTGGCCAACCCAGAGTCACTATCCAGCAAATTGTATCGGTCAACTCTTAAACATGAGCTCACCAAGACCGACCTGACACACTTTGACATCTATTTATAAGAAATATAAAACGTTTACATCTTGCATAACATTCATAAGAAGTCCTTTGTCCCCTGTGCTGTAAAGCTCCTCAGTGAATGGATGTAAATGTAGTCCCACCACTGCCTGTTAATTTATGAATTATGTACTGTTGTTATGATTTCATGTGCTTTATGAGTTTTTGTGTCTTTTGTGTTTTGCTTGTGTCTTTTGTACTTTTATGGGAGGAGCCAAAGACAAATTCCCACAGTAGTGGACAATAAAGTATCTGTGATCAGTTTTCAAGGATTTTTTTTGCTGGAATGAGCGCTTGTCCTGGCGATGTGCGTTTTCACTTCACAATGTCTCTGGTTTCCGGCGCTGACCCGCCTGTCTGGGTCATGAGATGACACAAGTGTAGAATCCAGTGATTTCTGCTGAACTTCGACAGAAACTCTGCGATGGGCTGGTGCTCCCATTGCTTGCTGGCTTAGGCTCTGGCCCCCTGCACTGGGTAAAGAGGTTACAATAAGAGAAAAGAAACATCAGTTCCAACCACGTCAAATTCACTAATGTCTTTTAATTTGCAGCAGGTGCTGTGATATTTTATTGAATGGTGGAAACTCATTGTGTTGCACGTATTGAAGGTTTGCCAGCAGTGGGGCTGATTAACGGGCAGACTCCTGTACTAGATACGGGCTGGTGGCATGCGATCCGGTCTCTGACCTCGTCTCTTGCTCCTGCCTCAGGTGTGCTATGGACCGGAGAGGTCTGGGAGTTCCTGAGTTTTGCGGATCGCTACCCTGGCATTGTCCCGAACATCCTGCTCTTTGGGCTGACCAGCGCCATGGGCCAGGTAGGGCAAAGGACACCGGCTGCTTGGCTGTGGGATGGGAAAGGCCACCCCCGCAGAATGAGCCAGAGTGTAGCTCGGACAGTGGTCTGCAGCTGTAATGTCTTCGGCTTGGCATTTTACCTGAGCTCCTAGATAGCTCGTTGACATAGTGAGTGGCTGGATTTGACCAGCTGCACCCTTTACAAGGGTGCTTACACAGCTGTTGGTTTCAAACAGGGATGCACAGCTCCAGTTCTCAAGGGTAGGTTTCACAGTTACTTTTCAGCTCGTAAATGATTAAGATTAAGACCAGGTCATCAATCCAGTGAAGTAATTTCTGTCAGCTGTGGAATGCAGACCGGAGACCCCAGTGGCCCATGGGTGCCGATGAGCTAAGAGCTCCTTCAGGGGTGCCGCCCCGAGTGCTGTCTCACTTGTGCTTCTCCAGAGCTTCATCTTCATGACGGTGGTGTACTTCGGGCCCCTGACCTGCTCCATTATCACCACCACCCGCAAGTTCTTCACCATCCTGGGCTCTGTGCTCATCTTCGGCAACTCCATCAGCACCATGCAGTGGGTGGGCACCGTGCTGGTCTTCCTGGGTGAGTGTGTCCCACAGGCCTGGGCAGGGCTAGCTTATCAGAGCCTTTGTCCTCAATCTGTCACGCTCATTTAGAATCAAGCTCCACTCATTAGTTTTGATTACTTCATGGAGCACTAAAAATAAGTATATTTGTTACATAATAGCTTAAAGTATATTGGGTATTTAATTAAAACAGGTTGCGGGTGTGAAACAGTGAACTCAACCAAAGCTGTTCAACATTTTAGAATGATTTCTGTCTTTAAATGGACTCAGCATTTTATCTAAAAGATATGCATTGTCTTGCTTTGGCTAGCTCTTCATGACTTGTTTTCCGCAATATGCTGGTGTTATATATTGCCATAATATGCCCTGGGATTGTAAAATAAATCTGACATTAATTAGTAATGCTCCCCTCTGTTTCTCTAGTGCATTTGTATTTATATACTGAAGGCATTTATTCTGAACTGCTCTCCAGCTCTGACTGAAAGTAGTCATGTGACATGTTTTTTCAGTGTATTTTAATTAGTTACACTGCAGCCTATATATAGTCTCTAAATTAATGTTTTTTCTAAATCAGTCCTGTAAAATCAATTTAAAAATAAACATCAAATAAAAGAGAGGTTTTGGAGTACTAGAAGACTAATGTGCAGAGCTAAAGGTCACTACAATGTCTTGTACATAAGAAAAGGTTCTGAACAGCCCAGTTTCTGTGTGACCACAGTATAAATTCCCCTGGTACTGACATGACTGCTGGTCAGCTACTGATTGAGTTTTTTTCTTTCCCAGGTCTTGGACTCGATGCCAAGTTTGGGAAAGGGCCCAAAAAGACGCCGCGTTAGGAAGCGCCAGCGGTTTCAGTGTTTCTGCGGTCTGGACCACAGCAGGACGAGCGCCAGGGGGCTCCGCTGGCAGTGCCTGACAACAGCCTTTCCTTTCCGCTTGTCACTTTCAGGAGTTTGGCCTCTTCCCTGGTGAGGACTGACGTCTGGACACTTTTACAACAGTTTTATTTTCTCTCCCTTTTTCCGTGTTAAGAGCCGAGGAGCAGATGCATTGCCCTTCGGTCCTGCCTGCTCTGCACCTGGGACCTGACTGGTCCTTGGAATGGTTCCCTGTTGCTCCTGCTTGGCGTGCGCAGCAATCCGACTTTCCATTCAGTCACCTTTCAGAGTGGATTCATACTTGATGGTTTTTTTCTAACGGGAAAATTGGTCCCACGAATCAGCAGAAATACTATAGCAGCATCACAGAGTGGTAGCTGTATACGTCCTTGCTTTGTATGCAATAAAATCATTATTGAAAGGCCCAGGACAACTTTTAGTTTACCGTGCAAGGGGGAACCTGGCTAGTTTTCCCAGTTAGAAAATATTTGAAATCTGCAGGGTTACCAGCAATAAACTGTCTGGTATAAATCAGGAAAATGGCTAGTAGTAATACACACTTACTCATGCCAAAACCCAACTTGTAATCAGGAATATATTATTTACAAATTTCTTTCCATTTGAAACCACAGAAAAACTGCTAAGAACGAGGGTGGGGAAAATGTCTGCATGCACCGAGTTCTCCTTCGTCTTCGAGACTTCAGATGTGATAAGTGACACAGGCAAACATTTGAGTGTGAAACACCTGTGCAAAGCCTTTTGGTCTCAGTAACAATACTTCCCATTGTTCATACATGTAGGTTATTTCGATTTTTTTAAATTCATTTCCTGAATTTTGTTGCTGAATCTGTATTTTTACATTTGATAAACAAGTGCTGAAAGTATTTGGGTCATCCCTTTTGTATTATGTGTCGGTCTGTCTCCCGGTAGCTTCTCTAACCTGGGGGATTCGGTATGCTGGGATCTATTGTAACTGGCACTGGTGTGACTCTTGGCTTTGTGTCATTAATTTGCAGTCTAGAATTGTTGCGAACGTCATAGATCTCTACACATGTATCCATGGTGGTGTTTCATTTTGTCCTTGATGCTCTCTCACCTGCTTATGCCCTTAATGCTGTTATGCTTTTGTCTTGATTTGCATTTCTGATTCTGCTGTGCCACTAAAATCATCCGTCGAGTACAGCTGCTGAAAGATCTTGGACAAAGCGAAGAGACATTGGGGTGTTTCAAGGCCTCACTAGTCTTGGTTGAAGGGCATGGGTTAAAAACAAAGGGGCTTCTCTTCTAAGTCTCTTGGAAAAATTCTTCAAGAAGCCTGGGAAACTGTCAGCCTTAAGCAGAGGATGAGTCTGTGCATCCTGCTGAAAACAGTTATTGAAATTGTAACATGAAGTAAATATAATTGACAGACCCTGCTCCATGTTAAAGCTCCTATTGACACCCTCTCACTTATTATAACCACGTAAGAAGCATGAGTTACATCCCTCTTTCCTTTTTTGGTTTAACGGCACGCAAGACTTGCAAATTATTTCCTTAGACTGAGTATCAGGTTATCCGTCAGCACACAAACCTGCCAGTTCAGAGAAGTCAGTCAGAAGACAGTGTACCCAATAAAAGTACACACAAAAATCTGATGTTTTGTAACATTTTTGATGGGGTAGCCGTTAGACCATTGAGTGCTCTCACTCCTACAGATACAGCTGTGCCAGCAGAGAATCACAGGAGCAGCAGGGACCTTCCACCTGTACTGGACATCCGGAAAACAGGCCCTGCCATCATTGATGGAACCTGACACTTATTTCTCCTTTTTGTTCTTTCTAGCATCTGTAACGTGTTGTACTTAAATTATATGTTATTTTTTAAGAAACAAAGTTAAAGGGAAATCTATATTTTTCACGAGCGGAAACTGTATCATGTCCTTTGTGTAAAGGCCTTAAAACTGGCAAATTTCTATACCTGCCCAACATGTCTGTGGACTCGCCATCTTTGTGTGTGTACCACATGGATCTAGTGTCTGTGGGTGAAACCAGATTAAACACCGTTGTGGCCAGACAGAATGGGTTTGTGTAGTGTGTGTGTGTTTTCTTTCGTACTCCCCAGTTTGGATCATGCATTGGTTGGATTGCAAGCC